CCATAGGTCGACTGAGCCTCAAATGAGTACCTGGTGCGGTGTGCAAAGATTGCTACGATGGAGACAAAGGCGGTCGGGCGTGGTGCTGGCGACCCACCCCCTCGTATACCTTAATAGGTGCTCGCTCGCAACCCTTGCTCCAACAGTCTGCTAAGCCTATAGTTAGCGACGCTACGATCCCGGATACCTGAGTTTGATTCCCGCTCACAGATGCAGTAACATCGGTGGCGATTGCCAGAGTCGGTCCCCTCCTAAGTCAAGGGGTGGGTGGGAGTGGGGGTGGGGGGGAGTTCGGCAACCGAAATGACAAGATAATCTTTTTTTCTAATTTGGCTAAAAAAACACTCAATATTTCAAGAGCCACAATGCCACGTGGCAAGTCAATAAATTACGTCACGAAGCAGTCTTTTAAAGAGCCGCACGTGGCTACAGAGCCGCGGGTTTTTCCAACTCCTGCCCGAAGTCGACTCAGCCTCAAATGAGTACCTGGTGCGGTGTGTAAGCATCCGTACTGGGGATACAAAGGCGGCCGGAAGTGGTGTTGGCCATCCACCCCCCCCCCCACCCTCGTGCCGTGCCGGCCTTTATAGGTGCTACTCGCTGACAGCACTTGTCCCACCAGTCTGTTAAGGCCACACGGGGGGATCTTTGTCTGTGTGTCTCTGTGCGTGTACAGGTCGACTCCTTGTCAAATAAGTACCTGGTGCGGTGTGTAAACATCAGTACTGGAGATACAAAGGCGGTCGGGCGTGGTGTTGTCCACCCATCCCCCCCTCCCCCCCCCCCCCCCCCCCCCACACCCCCTTCAGTGTACCTTCACAGGCGCTGCTACTCGCGAACGGCAACGTGCCTAAAAATCTTGACTTAAACCTTTCGTGACTGCAGGAATTCATACTCTTTGCGTCTTCCTGCAAAGTCACGTAGATAGCTTCAAAGAAAAGAACGAGAGAGAGAAAAAAAAGCCTACGACGTTTCGATCGCCACGCAAGCGTTCTGATGACAAAACGCTTGACGAAGAGGCCATTCGACAGAGCGTCGCGGACGGTTCGGTGCAGACGAAGAGCTTCAGCGCCCCCCTGTGGACGTAAAATGGCCCGGGGCGGCAGCCCAAGTTCGGGAGAGTTTGTTCGCGCGGTTCGATTAGAGCAGGCCGGGACTTGCCGGGCCGCCCTCGTTAACACCGGCGGGTTGTCCACGTTTCAGACCCGCGTCGACGACAACGCGCCCGCGAATTTCACGGCGAAGGTCGAAAATTTTCCCGCGACGTCAAAAAAATGCTCGCGACGTCCCTCGCAGGAGCGGTGCCGGCGCGGAATTTTGTTATAAACAGTTTAACAAATGACACCGCAAATTATTCGTGTGGCATTGCAGCAGCAGCAGCTGTAGCAGCAAGCAAGCAAGCAGCAGCAGCTGCAGGCATAGCACCGCAACTGTGCGAACGCTCAACAGGGCTCTCCTGCTAACGGAGTGATGAGACCCAGCGAGGCTTTCCTGCATGGGTATTAATCCACACGTCTCTCTCTCTAAATCAGCTCAAGCATACTGCAATTCACGTGACTCCCGTGTAGCCACCCTCAGCTCAACCCACACACACCCTTCTCTCACCACTACTGGGAAGACAAAGACGGCCGGGCGTGGTGCTAGCCACGCCAATCGTGTGCTTCGTTGCTCTTCATAGGTGCTCGTTGACAGCACTTGTCCCAGCACAGCTATGCGGGGGGATCTTTGTCTTTGTATGTTGCAAGCAATACCCCGAATTACGCCTCCCCCATCCCTCCTTTCACGTCGTTTCGCAAACACGTCGCTTTATTTACACCGCCACTCGATTTGCGTCGCTTCAACCCCACACCTCCGCCGCTGACAGCATCATCATCTGCCCCTTTCTCGTTATCCGTCGCCTCTCGGCCTTCGCCTCCATCCACCACCAGCTACCCACCTACCCCGTGATTCGCTTCGATTTTAAGTCGTTTCGATATTCGTCGTTCGCACCTATTCAGGAACGCATCCCCGACGCAAAGCGGGGTTTCTAGTGTATGGTTTATGTGCATGCATGTACCCCATGGGTGGAATTTGGGGATGGGGGGCATGGGGGTCAATGCACCCCCCCCCAAACTGGACACATTTATTTAAAAAAATTCAGTAGTTTACAATTCATATTACAAATAAATACGTAAATTATATCATACCGTGTCAACCCATAAGGTTCAACCCGTTATTCTTGTACAGGAGAAATTGAGTTTTCAGTTCCATACTGCGTACAGCCATTTCAATGCGGGCAAAAAAATGTCTCTTTGTGTTACTCTCCTTGTGATGGGATTTTGTAGGATGAACGTTGAGAATTATAGGGGGCACGGGGTGACCAATACGATCTGAATTGGTCTGTAGTAAGGTAGGGCACTGACAAGGGGTTGACAGGAATGTTATATGCATTCCTAATGCGAGGGACAAAGCGACCCCCCTCCACCCACTACACGCGTGCACATGGATACGGCTGGATGCGTACGGTGCGAAATAAGCGCAACGTGCACACATAGCCAACACCAGTGACGATTATCTGAACCGGTCCTGCGCCTCCCTTAGGTCGACTCAGCATTAAATTAGTACCTGGTGCGGTGTGTAAACATCGCCACTGGCGTGGTGCTGGCCACCCACCCCCCTCGTGTACCGTTCCGGCCTTCATAGGTGCTCGCTAACACCACTTGCCCCTACAGTCTGTTAAGGCTATACGGGGGATCTTTGTGTGTGTGTGTGTGCACGTGTGTGGTGCATCAGCCAGTCATCTCAGTAATCTCAGTCAGTCGACCCGTGGCACCTTGTTCTGCCCCGTGACCTCCTGCCAGCGGGCGTTCGACACTTCACGTGGCCTCAAGGTGCACATGGCCTGGCACAAGCGTCGTGGTGACGTCACCGCCACTTAGTGGCGAATGGCGGTTGTTGTTGTGGTGTGCGCACACGTGGAGCTGAGTGGACTTGCCGATGACTGGTACCAGCGGTGTCAAGATCGGCCTCTGTGGAGGAGGCTCGTGAAGGACGCTGCTACTGGGCAGTTGGAGGCAGTCGCCCTCCCAACAACAACGGAGGGCGGAGGAGCGACGCTCACAACAACGAGCGGAGCGCCGGGCGGCTAAAGCACAGCGAGTTGGCACAGTAGGGGGCACAGGTGGTGCATCAGCCAGTCATCTCAGTCATCTCAGTCAGTCGACCCGTGGCACCTGGGTCTGCCCCGTGACCTCCTGCCAGTAGGCGTTCGACACTTCACGCGGCCTCAAGGTGCACATAGCCTGGCACAAGCGTCATGGTGACGTCAACCCACTTAGTGGCGAATGGCGGTTGTCGTTGTGCACACGTGTGTGTGTGTGCACGTGTGTGTGTGCACGTGTGTGTGTGTGCGCACGTGTGTGTGCACGTGTGTGCGCGTGTGTGTGCACGTGTGTGTGTGTCGCGAGTGTTCAGCCCTGTCCGATAGGGGAAAAACCTCCTCCCCCCCCACCAGCAAATCGGATTAAGCCGCAAATCCTTCCCTTAAACAGTTCTAATTTTACCCGACCGTTGATGGTATTACTGGAAACACAACCCATCCAGCGCAGAGACACACAGTGCCACACGTGGAGAGACACGGAGAGACACACGGAGACAGACACGGAGAGACACACGGAGACAGACACATAGAGACACACGGAGCCACACATAGAGACACACGGAGACAGATATAGAGAGACACTGAGAGACACACAGAGATACGGAGAGACACACAGAGATACGGAGAGACACACAGAGATACGGAGAGACACACAGAGATACGGAGAGACACACAGAGATAAGGAGAGACAGAGAGATCCGGAGAGACATACATAGAGACACACGGAGAGACACGGAGAGTCACACAGATACGGAGAGACACACAGAGCCACACATAGAGAGACAGATACGGAGAGACACACAGAGACACGGAGAGTCACACAGAGACACTGAGAGACACTGAGAGACACGGAGAGTCAGAGATACGGAGAGACACACAGAGACACACGGAGCCACACATAGAGAGACACTGAGAGACGCAGAGATACGGAGCGACACACAGAGACACGGAGAGTCACAGAGACATTGAGAGTCACAGAGACACACAGAGACACGGAGAGTCACACAGAGACACGGAGAGTCACACAGAGACACGGAGAGACACACAGAGACACAGACACACAGAGATACGGAGAGACACACAGAGACACGGAGAGTCACACAGAGACACTGAGAGACACACAGAGAGAGACACAGAGACACTGAGAGACACACAGAGACACTGAGAGACACACAGAGACACTGAGAGTCACACAGAGACACTGAGAGACACAGACACACGGAGAGACACACAGAGACACTGAGAGACACACAGAGACACTGAGAGACACACAGAGAGAGACACAGAGACACTGAGAGACACACAGAGACACTGAGAGACACACAGAGACACTGAGAGACACACAGAGACACACAGAGACACTGAGAGACACACAGAGACACTGAGAGAAACACAGAGACACAGAGAGAGACACAGAGACACTGAGAGACACACAGAGACACTGAGAGACACACAGAGACACTGAGAGACACACAGAGACACGGAGAGTCACGTAGAGACACTGAGAGACACACAGAGACACGGAGAGACACACAGAGAGAGACACTGATAGACACACAGAGAGACAGAGACACTGAGAGACACAGACACTGAGAGACACAGAGATACACAGAGAGAGAGACACACAGAGACACGGAGAGACACACAGAGACACTGACACAGAGAGAGACACAGAGACACTGAGAGTCACACAGAGACACTGAGAGACACACAGAGACACACAGAGACACGGAGAGACACACAGAGACACAGAGAGACAGAGAGAGACACACAGAGACACTGAGAGACACAGAGAGAGACACACTGAGAGACACACAGAGACACTGAGAGACACACAGAGACACTGAGATACACACAGAGAGAGACACAGAGACACGGAGACACACAGACACACAGAGACACACGGAGACAGAGAGAGAGACACCCGCCACTCCAGCAGAGACGGCACTGTAAATCCTCTCGCTCGTAATCTGCAGCGAGCGACGGCGTTCTGACTTTAACTCGACGGCGCATTCACTCGACGTATATTCCTAACCACGGCAAACAACAACACGTTTAAAACTCGACGGTAAGGTTGTAACCTCGACAGTTTTGTGAGTTTTAACACGACACAGGAGAAATCTCGAGCGGTAACAATCAACACACCCCCCCACATAAAAAGGGCGGGAAAAAAATTCGGCGCGGGCGACTGACTTCGAGTCGCATCAACAACAACAACAAACAAAACAAACGAAAACAAACAAACAAACGTCGGTCCATCTTCCTCGACGTCCTCCGGCCGGACCTGCGATGGCTTTCATGATCAAGTCGATGGTCGGAGGGCAGCTGAAGAACCTGACGGGAGGAGGGAGCAGCGAGGAGCCGAAGGCGTCGGAGGGAGAGGCGACGCCCGCCGAGGCGCAGGGGATGACGCGGGAGGAGTTCGACGAGTACCAGAAGCAGGTGGTGGAGGAGAAGTGAGTGAGGAGGTGGTGAGGAGGAGGTGGTGGTGGTGAGGAGGTGGTGGTGGTGGAGGAGAAGTGAGTGAGGAGGTGGTGAGGAGGTGGTGGTGGTGAAGAGGTGGTGGTGGAGGAGAAGTGAGTGAGGTGGTGGTGGTGAGGAGGTGGTGGAGGAGAAGTGAGTGAGGATGGTGAGGAGGTGGTGGAGAAGTGAGTGAGGAGGTGGTGGTGGAGGAGAAGTGAGTGTGGTGGTGGTGAGGAGGTGGTGGTGGAGAAGTGAGTGAGGATGGTGAGGAGGTGGTGGAGAAGTGAGTGAGGAGGTGGTGGTGGTGGTGGTGGAGGAGAAGTGAGTGAGGAGGTGGTGGTGGTGAGGTGGTGGTGAGGAGGTGGTGGAGGAGAAGTGAGTGAGGATGGTGAGGTGGTGAGGAGGTGGTGGAGAAGTGAGTGAGGAGGTGGTGGTGGTGAGGAGGTGGTGGAGGAGAAGTGAGTGAGGATGGTGAGGAGGTGGTGGAGGATAAGTGAGTGAGGAGGTGTTGGTGGTGAGGAGGTGGTGGAGGAGAAGTGCGTGAGGAGGTGTTGGTGGTGGTGAGGTGGTGGTGAGGAGGTGGTGGAGGAGAAGTGAGTGAGGATGTTGAGGTGGTGGTGGAAGAGAAGTGAGTGAGAAGGTGGTGAGGAGAAGTTGGTGAGGAGAAGTTGGTGAGAAGGTGGTGAGGAGAAGGTGGTGAGAAGTTGAGAAGGTGGTGAGGAGGTGGTGAGGAGAAGGTTGTGAGGAGAAGGTGGTGAGGAGAAGTTGGTGAGGAGAAGTTGGTGAGAAGGTGGTGAGGAGAAGGTGGTGAGAAGTTGAGAAGGTGGTGAGGAGAAGTTGGTGAGGAGGTGGTGAGGAGAAGGTTGTGAGGAGAAGGTGGTGAGGAGAAGTGAGTGAGGAGAAGTTGGTGAGGAGGTGGTGGAGGAGAAGGTGGTGAGGAGAAGTTGGTGGAGGAGAAGTGAGTGAGGAGGTGTTGGTGGTGAGGTGGTGGTGAGGAGGTGGTGGAGGAGAAGTGAGTGAGGAGGTGGTGAGGGGAAAAGATGGTGAGGAGATGGTGGTGGAGGAGACGTGAGTGAGGAGAAGTTGGTGAGGAGGTGGTGGTGAGGAGAAGGTGGTGAGAAGGTGGTGGAGGAGAAGTGAGTGAGGAGGTGGTGGTGAGGAGAAGGTGGTGGAGGAGAAGTGAGTGAGGAGGTGGTGGTGAGGAGAAGGTGGTGAGAAGGTGGTGGAGGAGAAGTGAGTGAGGAGGTGGTGGTGAGGAGGTGGTGAGAAGGTGGTGAGGGGAAGTTGGTGAGAAGGTGGTGAGGGGAATGTGGTGGAGGAGAAGTTGGTGAGGAGAGGGTGGTGAAGAGAAGTTGGTGAGGAGGTGGTGAGGAGAAGGTGGTGAGGAGAAGTTGGTAAGGAGAAGTGAGTGCGGATAAGTGAATGAGAAGTGAGTGAGGAGAAGTGAGTGAGGAGAAGTGAATGAGGAGATGTGAATGAGGAGAAGTGGTTGAGGAGAAGTGAATGAGGAGATGTGAGTTAGGAGATGTGAGTGAGGAGAAGTGAGTGATGAGAAGTGAGTGAGGAGAAGTGAATGAGGAGAAGTGAGTGAGGAGAAGTGAGTGAGGAGAAGTGAATGAGAAGTGAGGAGAAGTGATTGAGGAGAAGTGAATGAGGAGAAGTGAATGAGGAGATGTGAGTGAGGAGATGTGAGGAGAAGTGAGTAAGGAGATGTGAGTGAGGAGAAGTGAGTGAGGAGAAGTGAGCGAGGAGTAGTGAATGAGGAGGAGTGAATGAGGAGAAGTGTCGCACGCATGTGGCTTTGCCCGTGATGATCCAGCGTCGAGGGTTGGTGGATCACACGCCGGATGGGGTTGTGAAACTTTGCCCCCCTTTCCCCAGCCGTGTGGATGGGTGTTCTGAGGAGGAGCTGTAGCCCCTGGCTCGCTAGGTAGCAGGCGGTACAGCAGTGCAGACTAATCTCCATTTGTTTCCGTCTCTATGGGATAGCGCCCTCGCATTGCGTGGGTTTTCCAGCTTTCCCCCAGGTGTATAAACACTCGTCGTTAATTGGCTGAAACAAATGTAATATGTAGAGGATCGCAGAGCTTGGGCAATTGTTGGTTGTGCTGTCTCCTCAACACCACCTTGGCTGCTGCTGCTGCCTTCCCGCGCGGTCTGTGGTTTCTCGGCGATAATAAGAGGCGCAATTTGTAGGAAAGGTGCCAACTCTGTGAATGAAATGTTTAAAAAACGTGCCCATACGGACACAAAATTGTACATTTCCAAATTGTCTCAATTAAAAATGGAAGCTGAGTTCGTTACGCGCTGCCCGCGCCCTATGATTGTCAAACACGTGTCCACGCGGATGTGGAGAGCGCTGATGCGAATTCATGCGGAGATCGTGTGCGTGGGTGTGTAGGTGCTCGCTTACGTTGCCTCAAATGAGTACCTGGTGTGGTGTTTAAACAACGCCACGAGGGGGAGACAAAGGCGGCTGGACGTGGTGCTGGCCACACACCCCCTCATGTGCCGTGCCGGCCGTCATTGGTGCCACTCGCTAAAAGTCGGTTAAAACTATAAGGGGTCTTTGTGTAGTGACATCAGGGATGTCACTGCATGGTGCCGGCCCAGGAGGGCCGTGGCGTGCGATGCACCGTCATCGCGTACACCCCATAGGCGGGTGTAGTAGCAGCCCCAGCAGGGCTTGGTGAGCACTGGGATAGCGTGGCCACCACGCACAGCGTGGAGTGCGGGCTCCCACCAGGGGGAGTGGGAGAGTGTCAGCCCAGGGGCAGGGTTGCCCCGGGCCGTGGCCACTCTGGTTGACCCCGTAGACACGTGATCCAGAGTGTCCATAGAGAGGGCCCCAGGTGGGGGGGCTAGGGGGTGATCACGTGTCCGGGGAGAGCTCCCGAGAGGGATCGAGGGGGAGCTATAACGCTCGAGAAGGCGGGCGGGGCCAAGGGCGGAGCGGCCCCGACCCGGGGGGGTTATAAGGCAGGTCCCTGAGAGGGACCGGGGTTCTTCGTCCGACAGCTGGAAGCCCGACGTCTACAAGCTGGAAGCTCTACGTCCTACGAGGCATCAACACGTGGTCGGGGACCCGAGTGAGGGCCCGACCCTTCGTCGCTGTAACTCCTACATATAGTGTAGTTAGCTGGGTGGTCACCACCCTAGGCTGTATCTGGTGAAGGGGCAGTTACCTCTTCGTGTTAACGTGTTGATGTTACAATAAATGTGTTGCCTCTAAAGAACAACATCTGCGACTCAGTTGGGCTCACTACAACTGGTGTCGGAAGTGGCCAACACGCTAGATTATATAGCTAGCAGTAGACTATGTCTACACGTCGCAGACGACGTACCAGGACGTCGGACAGTGAGGACGACGACCTCGTGCTGCCTACAGCTCCGGAGGATGCGGTGGAGACGCTGCTGGCGGAGCAGGGCGCCAGCCGGCCGCTCAACACTTCGCCGTCGGCGGAGATGTCCCTCCGGGAGGCACACGGTCGCCTTGCAGAGCTCCTCCACGCTGCAGCTTCGCTCCTCATGGAGATCAGCCTAGCGGTCTCGCTGGTGAAGGACGGAGCGGCGATGCCGCTCGTGGACGGCGATTCCGCCGCTATTTCGCAGCAGGCGGGAAACTCGGCAGTGTAGCCCGTGCTTTCGGCCGACATTTTGTCGCCGGCACGGAGCGCGCAGCCCAGCAAAATTGAAGGCGCGCCGTCGACGCCGATGGACATCCCGGCTCTCCGACGTCGGCTTCCCTTCATTAAGGAGTTCGCGGCTACCAGTGGCGACTGGGTGGCTTTCAAGCGGCGATTCCTCAAAAATGCCAACTTGGCGGGATGAATGGAGGCGGAGGCGCTGTGGGCGTTGCCTGCCGGCCTCGACGACGACGCTCTTGCAGCATTTCTCGCCATCCCACCGCCGGAAAGGTCCACCCTCACGCAGGCTTTTGACCAGATGGCGTCTATTTACACGCCACAAATTTGCCACGCGACGGAAGGGGGAGAACGAGTCGGCCCTCGCCTTCCGCAGCGCACTTTTGGCACTGGCAAAAGCCGCCTTTCCTAAAATGGACCACGACGGAATTGACACGTTGGTCCTCAAGAGACTGCTGGCCTTGGCAAAAACCCTTCACATCATCCTTCCAGCTGAAGATGGTGACGTCTTGTCTCTTAAAGTTGCTAGGTGCATCCAAGCCCAGCAACTTCTACAACGGGACAGGGCGCTGGTGACATGTGCCGTGTCCCGCACGGAGCCGGGGCCGCCGGATGGAGAGGAGCCCCGGGGTGGCGGTGGCGCACGACGGTCAGACGAGCAGCAGCGGCCAAGATCGTTGTCTCGTTCGAGAGGCGGCCGTGTCACCTGCTACAATTGTGGCCTGTCGGGGCACGTGTCATCGGGCTGCCGCATACCACGACGGCGTCTCCCAGCAACGCCACCATCCTACGCTCCCCTACACCCTAAGGCGAGTTGCGACGCACTCCACACTCGGCCCTTGGCCTTATCTCACCCATCTAGGCGCTTTGCGTCCCTGTCGCGCATCGGTACGGGGAAGTCCTATGCGTAATCGTGAGGTTCGTCAGCTCCGACCGGATCAGTGGTCGGAGCTGGCCCATCGTGTGGTAGCTGCGGCCGCGGGTTCATCTGCCGTGCTAGGGTTTATTGAGGGTGTGGAAATTAGGATGCTAGTCGACACAGGTGTGTCGGAAACTATCATCTCGGAGTTGATTTATAATATTTTGCCCCCCAAGTGTCAGGTTCTAGACCTTGTTGATGCACCGTGTTTTGCCGCTAACGGCGGCTCATTGGGTATGATCGGTCGGATAACGGCTGAGGTGCGCATCGCTGACGTTAAATTGTCGGGGCACATTCTTGTCTCCACATCCCTGGCTGTTCCATATTTACTTGGCACCGATTTCCTGGGAAGGATGCCTTTGAAAATCTGCATTGACAGTGGCTGTCTGGAACTGCCATCCGGCCGTCGTATCTCATTTTTGCCTTCCCC